TAAATTTCGATCATAAATTTTGATTGGTTACTGGATTTGACGATCAAAATGCCGATCGAACAACTTTGAAATGGCCTTATGTTGACGAGAAAAACAAAAAAACTTTTTTATTGTGACACGAACAAAGTTATTGGTCAAAAGTATGATCACATGTTTGTTATTTTTTTTTTTGATATATTTTTTGTTACACGACATCGAACAAAAACTTATTATCAGTAGATGTCGCTTGACAAGTGTATTATTAATATGGTGAAACAAAAAACCCACCTCCGATGTAATGCATCGAGAAGATCGTAAATCCCAAAATATGGGGTTATCTTTTTTTTTTTTTTTTTAAAAAAAAAAAAAAAAATGGATTTTAATATCAAGAATAATTCTCGATTACGAACTTTTAATCAAAATAATATTAACAAACAAATTACTTTTAAATAAAAGAAATTTTAAAAAAAATCAAAGTTTCGCATTTTTTTTATTGAATCGAATTTCACTTTCTTCACAGAATACCGCGTCATTCTTTATTTATTCGCATAACTAATGCATTGACGCAAAGACAATATGCATTATGTAATACGCATCCTGCGCCAGCATAAAATAAGGAACTGTCTACATTGCATCGAATTTGATACTTACCTAATTCAGACATTCTATTCATATTTTTTATTATATAATTTTTAAAGATATTATATAAATTATTTATTTTATTAATAAATTATATCAACATATTACAATATTTTTGGTTTTGAAAAAAAAAAAAATATTATTAATAATAAATGTAATATATGCGTCGTTGTATCTTTCAATTTCAATTAGTTTTTTTTTTGTTGATAATTACTTAAGTCAACCGATATTCTTACATTATTATAATAAAGCTCGTGTATTAATTGTTTATATTCCTGGTCACTTAAAAGTTTAGAAACCAGTTAATTTAGGATTTTATGTTAATTACAATGGGCAAATTCATTGTTCTACGCAGATACTTGTTAAAGTTAATAATAGCATATAATAATCGTAATATCACGAGAGGTTGAAGAAGGTGGTTAAAGAACTGGGAAGATTTTATTAATGATATTTCGCAACTTTACTCTGTAAATATTTCCAATTCAAGTTGTCCAATACTATGTAATGAAAAACAAAAATGAGGTATTATCATTTATTCTTTGTTTGAAAATGTCAATGGTCCGTGTCGAATTGATCTTTAACTAACAGCACCAATGCCAATAATAATGTTTTGTAACGATAAAATTTATTATTTCGGCGAGATGGTTTGAAAGGTATCATGTTTTATATATAGTCGCGAAGGATCTGTTTTTTCTTAATTTGTATAAATTTCTTATTAAAGTTCATCAGATGGAAGGAATAATTCAGTTTTTTAAACATTCTTTTTCTTGAGTTGACTTTAAATACGGAATTTTCCAAAAGAATATATATACAAAAGCTCAGATTTTTACCTGCTCTTGAAACATCTTTAAGAAACGTTGTGAACTATCTTTTTACATTATCGTGAGATATTTAAAGGGAGATTGTTTCATTTCGTGAAAAGTTTCCTCGTTGTTTTTCATTACAACTTCTACCATCATAAATTCCATTTTATTTTTTAACATACTTCCTTATTAACAATCCCTTTGTTTAAAAATAAAATAGAAAGTAGAGGGGTTTAAAATAATCGAAAATTTTTAATCTTTTTATATAGATTTGGCAATTTAATTAACCCAATTTGGTAAACTAACAATGATTTCGTAACGTGATTTTGATAGAATATTTTTTTTTTGACATCAATGGATCACGAATATGGTAAAGGTTAAATCATTTCCTTTTGAAATATGACAGACGAGGGAAACGGGTTAAACTCATTGTTATCAAAGTTTATGCATGAGCATAATGCTGCGCCATCCGGAATCATCAACAATTAAGGATTACATGATAACCGATAAGGTTATTTAAAAAAAATGCCATTGTTATCTATTTTAACACTAGTAAAGTTTGTTAAAAATGTTTAGTAATAACAAACAAGCAAACTTTATTGCGAAAGCAAACAATTCAAATGAAATTAAATTAATTCATTCATACCCGAGAGTGATTTACAGTGCCTTACGCAGATCGAATGATAGATCATATAATTCATTTCATGCAACTTTCACATTAAAAGCTCGTGAATCTTTTTGAACTGTGGAAGATGAAAAATTTTCAAGATAAATCCTCGTGTCACCCATGCCATATGTAGTTTGGTTGATCGACGATCTTTAGATGGTAAGTCTCAACTCATGTAACACAAATCACAAAACGAACTATATTATTTTGATTTCATTCTCTGCAAACTTAAAATGTTCAGTATGTGGAGTTTTCCCCAGAGAAATTTCATCCTTAATAACAAAAGAATCCGATTGGAGTAAAAATTGTGGAAAGGTTTAAAATTACCAGAAGATTCTCAATGACGCCTTAAAAGTTTTTCCTGATGGTAACGATGTACTTATTTAGAAACTCTACGAACGCCCAAAAGCAAAAGATTTAGACGATGTTCGAATTTAAGTAGTGGCGAAACAAAAAAGGTGTCATGTGGTTACACTCAACCTCAACAATGAATTCATTGTTTTGATTTAATTTTTCCAAAAATATTTGACTGTACGATTTTTGAAATCAAAGATAATGAATAACGATTATAAAGGTAAGATTAAAAATGTTTAAAAACAAAGGTCAATTCTTTGTTTATAGTTTATAGAGTATTTTGATGGATGCTGCGCCTCCTCAATTGATTCGTTCGTTTTTAATTATTGATCAATTCTAACCCAATTGTCGGTTACTCTAACTTTTATTAGAGTTTGTTAAGACGTAGGTAATACAAGGGGGAACAAGTAAAACCTTCGATTATAATGCAATGGGTTTTTTTAATGATCATTGATGCAAACAAAGAAATTTCGTTTTTCTTCTTTTTAAAAAATTTTTTTTTTTTTTTTTAAAAAAAATATATCATTATTTTTTATTGTGATAATGTCTCATGTTAAACATAAATTAATTAACCCATTCTCACAGTTACCCGTGTAAAGTGATTTACTGTACCTTTCGCAGATCGAAATGATAGATAGAAAATTTTTATTCATGCAACTTTCACATTCACACTCGTGAATATTGGTTTAACCGATAAAAATTTTCAAGAATCGAATGAACGAAATTTGTTTCAAATATATGTAAATCTTCGTGAGTAACATAATTTTTTTTTTTATTAATGCATTGATAATATATTTATCATGACGGTTTTGACAGTTCTATTTTATTTTTATTTTCTTTCGATCGTCGACCTTATATAGAAAAGTTTCAAAAATGTGTGAAACGTTCAAAAACGCATATATATATAATCGAATGACTTAAAAATAATTTGGTAATAACCATTATTCTCAAAACCGAAAATTCTTTTTTTTTTTTTTTTTTTTTTTCTTTTCCTCTCTTCTTTTTTTTAAAATTAAAAAACGAAAAAATACAAAAAAAAAAAAAATTACAAAAAAAAAAAAAGAAAAAGAGAATAACATCATCATCATTCTGTTCATCATTTCTGTTGTAATTTTAAAAATCCTTCCTATCTTTTCTAAACCCATTTTTTTATATACATAAATGGTGAGTACATCAATAAGTAAAACCGTTTTCATGAATAAATGCGAGTTTTTGGATTATTAATAATAAGAAGATGGGGGGTGCGTCTTTCATTTTGCAGCTTACAAGTTATTTGACATCATTAAATCCACTCCGATATTTGATGCCCGAAAATACCGGATTGTCCCGTTCAACGTATTATTCTCAATTGCAGAGAAATCTTCCGATGGGTACATTTAGTTGGAAGGTTTCATCGTTTCAACAATACATTAAAAATTGTGGTACGGGTGACATATTCTATAGTCCGAGGTTCACGATTCCTCAACTTCAATCCACATACGCAAATACGGCGAATTATGACAATTCGCCGCACATTTCTCAATGGCGACTTAAGGTCTTCCCCAATGGTAATGACACATATGATTACATATCCGCTTACCTGGAAGCAATACAAACCCCTTATGAGAAACGACATAACATAAAGGTTCGTCCGGCAAAGTTCAAATTATTTTTAGAGATGGTCGATTTAAATAAAAATCCACGAAAGAATATCTTGATCGATTCGGATACAAATCATACAATTTTAGAACATAAATTCGAATTTGATAATGATGAATCCGATTTAGGTTATCGTCGACTATGTCTAATCAATCAATTGTTCCCCGATGGTAATAAATCACGTGATATCGATTTGATCTTTCACGTTCATTTCATCACTTGTGATGATCCGTTAATGGATGAAGCCTTAAATATAAATCAGAATGAAAAATTCTTTGAAAATGGTGCATTCGCGGATGTCGGTTTCATCCTAGATTGTGGGAGGGTCATCAAAGCTCACAAGATCGTGTTAGCAAGTGGAAGTGCTTATTTCGATAAAATGTTACAAGGTGGTTGGATAGAAGGCACGGCAAAAATCATTAAATTACATAATTGGAAATATGAAACTTTCAAGTCCATACTTTATTATATTTATACTCACAAATTAGTAAATAATGATGATATAGAATTATTAAAAGAAATTTACATCAATAGTGATATGATCGGTTTGGTTAAATTACAAAATTTAGCGAAAATGAGGTTAGTGCAATTAATATCACTTGATAATTGGGAACAAATTTTATTATTTGGCTGGGAACATGATGATTTGATTCTAAAGACATGTGGTTTGGACTTTGTTTCTTCCAATTATCCAAAGATTAGAAATTCTGATGCCATGAAGACAATTCTTGATACTAGAAATATTGAATGGATTGAAGAACTTATGGCTGTTGCCATGATAAAAATTTGAAGAATTTTCCGATATTTCGAGATAATGTTTTCTAGAAAAAGTATATTTAATTAATTTAATCTGACTTTGCGTCGAAAAAAAAAAAAAAAACAAAACAAAAATAAAAAAAAATAAGAAAATAAAACGAAAATAAAAAAAATATATATATATATAAGATTAGAGTTATAGAAGAAAATTTATTATTTAATCCTTTTTTTTTTTCCTATCAATAGAAATAAAATATTTTAACGGAAAAATTAATAAAATTGTGAATAGATAAAAAAAAAAACTAAAATGTATTAGTATTTAGCTGATGATAAAGTAATACATTTTTAAGAAAAAAAATAGCAATACTTATTTTTATTGATACTTTTTTTAAATTTTAAGTTGTAAATATTGTTAATGAACTGTATGCTTATTTAGGAATGCGAAGTTCGTATTTATAGCAACTTCTGATGTTTATAGAATTTTTTTTTTTTTAATAGTTTTATTTCACATAATTTATAAGTACAAGTTGAATATTTATATTTAATTTAATACAAAAAAAAAAAAAAATGTCACGTAATTCATTCATTTAAAAGTTGTGTAACCCCATTGTATCTAGGAACAAACCTAACATGATAATTAACTGGCCAACTAGTTAATCCATATGTGCCATTATTCAAATCAATTGGGATAGGTTTTCCATCTTCACCCGTGGGCGATGCATTTTCAATATTAAAGCAATAAAGAATACGTGAAAAAATAATAAATAATTCATATTCAGCCTAAAAAAAAAAAAAATAATAATAATAAATTATAATTTAGGTTGCAAATAAAAAAAATTCGTAAACTAAAAAGTTATTTACCAAATGAATTCCAACACAGAGTCTTCTTCCAGCTCCAAAACTAAAATGGTCTCTTTTTTCAGCAGCTCCATTGGCAAAGCTTGCCATACTTTGCTCAACATTGATAAACCTATACGGATCAAATTCCATAGCATTTTTATGACGTTTTTCATCAAATCCAATTGCATGAGCATTAATAAGGATTAGAGAGTTTGCCGGAATATAATAACCATTATATTCATCATCTTGTTGAACGCAATGATGGACTCCCGTCCAAGTTGGTGGAAATACCCTTTGGCCTTCTCTGATCAATGCTTTAATATAAGGGAGACTTTTAGAATCAGTAATAGTTGGGAGTCGATCACGTTTAGGAATGAGCGCGTCAAGTTCTTTGTGTGCTGGTTCTTGGAACGAAGGATTATTTGCCAAGAACGCTAATAACCATGTTATACTTGATGCTACTGTATCCTAAAAAAAGATAAGACAAAGTGAACATTTTTTACGAAAAAAAAAAAAACATAAAATTAATAAATAATTAGATATTTACTGTTCCGGCAAAAACGAGACCTCCAAATAGGTGAACAATTTGATAATCTTCTAATTCTCCTCGTTCATAAATTTCTCTCGCAGCACATGGATTTTTATTTTTTCCTGATTTAATATTATCAAGAATTTCACCAAAGATCGAATCAATATCATCTCTGACAGACAACGCATCCTGTAAATCAATATAACAATATTATTATTAAGATAATCATAATGCTAGGGATAAATATCTTTTAAAATTAAAAAGCGTCCATGTCACCTGTTTCACTTTATTCTTTGGATGATATTTTAATATCGGGAAATATTCCAATTTCCTATTTGCATTTGCGTACAGCATTGTAAGATTATGCACGAATTTATCGATTCGTTTGAATAATGGGTCATCAATACTTGTAGTATGAGTTCCGAAAACTACATCTAAAACTACATTTAAAGATGTACGACGAAGGTACAAACGTGGGTCTACTGGTTCAGGATTTGACGAGGAAGTTGAGGCATGAATTAACTCTGTTAACGTTTCTTTTGTCACTTTATCTATCAAAGGGCTATAAAATTCGATTTTTTGTGGTGAAAGGACTCCGACACCTATTTGTTTTCGATAAAAAAAGATTATCCTTTACTAAACAGAAAGTCATAATTTTTTTTTTTATCATTCAAATCATTTACTTATTGTTCTCATTTTCTTATAATAATCTGTATATGGACAGCTGCCAAGGTTAGATCCTCTTGTTATGATATGATGATAATATTCCGAATCCATTCTTGACGAGTAAATTGCTCCTCCTAAGTGAAAAAAAGAAGCCAATTTTAAAGGTATCGATCACATGTTCTCTAAAGAATATCATTTATTTTTTGACTTACGTTTTTGAATTAATTCTCCAACAACTTTATCATTATTTAATATAATAAAATTTAATCTGCCCAACTTTATCGAGTAAATTTCGCTATTTAATTCTTTAGCCCATTTTGTTAGACTAAAGGATTCATTATTATTAGAATAATAATAATAATTATAATGGTTGCAATAATGATAAAATAAACTTACGTTTCATGTGGTTTGAAACCAAGTAATCTGTAATGACCTACACATTATAAATTTTCGTCCTTAATAAAATAGCTTTAGGTACTTTAATTTGAAGATTTATGAAAAAAAATTTACCAAAATAAAATTCGGACCCCTTAGGTGAAGGAAGAGGTTTAAGTCCTTTAGGAATCGAGGGTCTCTTGGCAAAGTAATACCATAAACCGAAGAAAATCGCGAGTAAGATATATGAGATCATTTTTTTTAACGAGTAAAAAAAAAAATTTGCGAGTTTGAGAATCACCGGCTACTTTTTATTAACTTGATATTTATAATTAATTTCTAAAACTGCAAATTAAATACGGTATTTGTGTGCTTGGATCCATTTATTTTAAAAATAACAAATTGAAACTAATTTAATTGATCAGTGATAATCATTACAAATATAGTTTGGTGAGAACTCCACACAATTAATTTTTTTAGAGAATGTAATATCGAAATTAAGTTATCAATCATACAACATCACATGAATATCAAGCATTACAAGTAGTGAATGATGAGCGGGCATGGATTTTGCGAATATAGATATTCCCGTGATTTTTTTACAATTAACCATGACTATAGTGAATCGTCGTTATCAGGCAATTTTTATTATACAATATTGATTTAGAAATTAATCAATTAAATTTATTATAAATAGCCTTCTACATTAAATAAATATATCATGTCATTTTATGTAAAATTTCATATAGTCGTTAATTTTTAAAAAAAACATAATAACAATTTATGGCTTTATAAATTTACATTATTAAAATTGTAATTCCCATCAGAATATAAAAAAATTTGGAATAATTATTACGTGATACCGGATAAATCACTTACCCGGCACTTTAGAATGTGTTTCCTGCGGAGCCCAAAATCAACCAATCAAATACGATTTACCATAAATAACAGTTATTAGGCACAAATAACCATTCTGGGATAGTTTATTTTGAATAGAATCAGTCAATATTTATCTTATTCCTTTAAATGCTTATTCGGCACACATAGACGTTAATATTTTTAAGAAAAAGATGATATGAGGAAATTTTTAAATTGATTTTAAAATAATTTGCGTAAATTTGTTGCTTTTAAGAGATCTTGAACTATTTTTTTTTTTTTTTTGAGAAAATTTATATACGAGTATTAAGATAAAAATTTTTTCCGTAAATTTTTATGTTGTGAAACATTCGCAAATATAATGTACTGTATGGGCTAAATTGGTTTTTGTAATATTTTTATATAAATAAAAATAAAATAATTGCGCATACATTTATGAATATGCATTTAAAGGTTATAAAAATAAAAATAAAGATTTAAAAAACAAATTTATTTTTATTATTTGATTATTGGTTTTGCTTGTTTGTATATGAACCTGTGATTTTTTGCAGCAACATTTCTTTGCATTAAATCATTTTCGAACCTTACATTTTTTTTTTTTTTTTCATCATTTCACGATTTATTTTTGATAGCATTAACAAAAACTAATATAAAGCTTTTTTTATTTTTTGCAAAATAAAGATACATCTTTGTCAATAGTGCCAAATCACTGAAATCAAATCTCCAATCCAGAATCCCCATCTCTATGGGTTTTATACCCTTTCTCTCTCTTTTATTTTTCTTTTTCATTCCTTAATATTCACGTATACTTTATTTTACTTATCATGCTTTATCTTTGACATAAAAATTATAAATGAGTATTATTATTATTTTTTTTTTTATTATATCTTAACTTTACTTGGTGACTTGAGTCAATTCAATCATTGAAAAGTTTTGTCATTTCTAAATTTCACGTGAAAATAACATTAATTTAGGCCATTATTTGATAACAAATTAAATTCTTATTTATAATTTACGCGTATATATATATATATACAAGGAGCTAATATCAACAATATTCTTATAAAGTCAATCAACAACCAAACCAACCCTCCCATTTAGTTAATACATGAGACTACAGTAACTATAATACATTATTATAATAATACAAACAGTACAAATAAAATATGTTCTAATCTGATACAGAAAAATTCTGAATAAAAGAGATATTACCATGGCAAACATCTTTAATACTTTAAATTCCTGCTATTTTTTTTTAAAAAAAATTATTCCGGTATATTTAGAAAAAAATTAAAAAAATTAAATAACACTCACCAAAAAAAAAACAAAAAAAGTTTTCTCGAGATACAGTAAATAAGGTATTTCGTATTCTGTTTACTCAGCTCAATTTTTGAAAGCTTTCAGAAAGATTGGGTATGCTTGCTTTATTTTTTTTTTGCTTCTTTTCTTGTAAAACAAGGATATAAAAAAAAAAAAAAATTATTCGGCAAAAATGTGATCTTTAATTTTTTCTATAAAGATATTCTTTTATATAAATGGATTACCCAATATAGAATTTTCCTAATCTGTATAGTGATTACACTTCAAAGAACAGTAATTTATTTATAGAAGTTATTGAGGCTTCTACCAACCAATCACCATCCCATCACCTCTAAAATCGCTCCCACCAGCCAAAACTATTTTGCCACTCTTTTCATCGATCCTCCTTTCAATAATTTGCCCTCTCCCAAACAAAACTCGATCCCATC